CCGAGGCTGCGCCGAGTGGCGGGCGCGGCCAGTTGGCGTCGCATGCGGGCGCGGCTGGGCCGAGTGGCTGCCCGCCCAGCGTGCCGGCAACCCCGCAGGGCCAGTCCCAGGAGGCGCAGGACGGCGTTCCTGCTCTTCCTGCTCGTCGCCCTCCCTCTCGGTTTCTTCTTTCTATCCACCCTCTCCTTGCCCAGGACGACAAGGTGGACGGCGGCCTCGCGGACGGCGACGCCGCTGGAGGAATGCAGAAGGCCCCCAGTGGGTAAACACCCAACTACCAGGACCACGCAACACCAAATCACATGTGAAATCACACGCGTGGGATTTCACATGGGATTTGGATGTTGCGTGGCCAGGGGGGCATCCCAATAAGATGAGGAGACGAGGAGACTGAGGAAGAGGAGACTGAGGATGACGATGAGGAGGATGATCGAGGAGGAGGAGGAGGAGGAGGAGGAGGAGGAGGGTCGAGGAGGTGGAGGAGGAGAAGGAGGAGGAGGAGGAGGACGACGACGCCACGCCACGCCACTCCCCCGAGGGCTACGGCACCCCCGTGAAGTCCATGCGCCCCGTGGCAGAGAAGGCCCACGCGATGCTGGACAAAGTCAAGGAGCTTGGGATATCGCTGTTCGTCGTAGTTCATCCTACTCATTCCTACTCCGCCTTCTCCTCCTCTCATCCTGCTCCTCCTCCTCTCATTCTCGGTCCTCGTCCACATCTCGACCCTCCTCCTCGATCCTCCTCCTCCTCCTCCTCCTCCTCCTCCTCATCATCATCATCATCATCATCATCATCATCAGCAGCAGCAGCAGCAGCATCATCATCATCATCGTCCTCCTCCTCCTCATCCCGTCGTCCGTCGTCGCTGCGGCGGCTCGACAGAATGTACTGCAAGGGTGTTGGCCTATATCTTCGGGGTGCGCGCATGGGAGACGCGCGATAAGATGTCGGCCGACACGGACCATGATGCCAAGGTGAAGCTGATCGCTGCCGTGTGGATGGTTCACGTCGACAAGGCGTGATCCCGTCGATCCTCCTCCTCCTCCTTCCGCTCCTCTTCCTCCTCCTCCGCCCCTCCTCCTCCTCCATCCTCCTCATCCTCCTCCTCTCATATCGTTCTCATGCACACTTCCTCCATCCCCTCTCCACCTCCCCATCCCCCTCCTCCTCGTTCGTCATCGTCCTCCTACTCATCCCTCCTCCTCCTCCTCCTCCCTCCTCCTTCTACTTCTCCCCCTTCATCATCCTTCATCATCCTCTTCTGTCTCCTCCTCTTCTGTCTCTCCCTCCTCTCTGCCCAGGCGGAGTCCGTCCACTACAGCGTGGACAAGCTGCACAAGGCCACATTCAACAGGCACCTCCTTGTGCAGAACAAACACATTCTGATCGCCACTCGCAAGCTGGCCAAGTCGATGAGCCAGAGGGATGCGAAGGCCGATGTTCCCACTCCTCCTCCGCCTCATCCTCCTCCTCCTCCGCCTCCTCGAGAGGCTGCGTGGAGCATCGTGGCGAAGCAGAAGGAGCACGAGTGGAACTTGGGCAGTGAGAGGGAGGCGTGGATCGAGGACCAAGCCTGGCAGATGCGCGCCATGCTGAAACACGTGAGGCTATCGCTGCGCGGAGACAAGCCCAAGAAGTGGGCCGTGACCACGTTCGGCGACGGCGGTGCGACCGAGTACGGCGACGACGACGACATTGCCGATCACATCGAGGACGGCGACAACGACGAGGAGCCCGACAGCAACGATAGCCAGCAGAGCACGCCAGCCACGCCAGTCAAGGCGATGCAGCCGAAGGAGACAAGGGATCGGGGGTGGAGGACGACACGAGGATGATGGGGGAGCGTGGGGGGGAATCAGGAGGAGGAGGAGGAGGAGGATGAGACGAGCGTAGGGAGGAGGAGGAGAAGGAGGAGGAGGAGGAGGAAGAGGAGGAGGAGGAGGAGGATGTGGAGGAGGATGGCACAGACGAGGACGAGCAGGAGGAAGAGGAGGAGGGAGATTCGTGAGGAGGAGGAGGAGGAGAATGAGCAGGGATAGTCATACTAGTCCGTGTCCGTGCCCTTGCCCCCTGGAGGAGAAGCGTCAACCTGCTGGCCAGCGCTTCGAGGCACTCGCCGCGCGGGACGGCTGGACGCTGGGCTACGATGCGGAGATGGAGGCGACGTCGTCGTCCGATCCATTATCCCCATCCTTCATTTAGATGGTCCCGCCCCTCCCACCTCCGTCCAGGTCCAGGATGCCTGTAGACCCCCAATGCCCCCCCCCCCGATGGTAGACCCCCACCCTGCTTCAGAAATCGAGTTCACTCCACGCCCCCCCTAGATCGGCTGGGGCCAATGGATGACTACGATGTCGTCGACAGGCGGCGTGGCGCTACAGGACGGACGGCAAGAAGCTGCCGCAGTTCCAGAAGGTCAAGGCCGTTGGCGAGGAGCTCATTGCAACATGGGCAGACGAGTACTCGTTCACGGTGCCTGGCGTGACGGCGCCGATTGGCGGCCGCAAGTCTGTCGGCAATGGCATCCTCGGGCGCTGGACGCACCGCGGCAAGGACGGCGGCGAGGTGAAGCTCGTGTACGTGAAGCACATCAACAGGGGCGAGTGGTACCAGATCACCCACGGTTCCAAGCAGATCCTCGAGCTGAAGGCCTACGCGCCAGAGTTTGATGCGAGGGCGAAGGAGGAGGCGCTGAAGTGGGCGGCCGCCTACGCGAGCTTGGAGAAAGACGTCGCCGACATCAAGTTGCTGAAGATTGAGTTCCTGAAAGTGTACGGGTCCGAGAACTGCCAGGTTCGGAGACATGCTGCAAAGGACCTTGGTGACACCGAGCCGCCAGCGCAGACGCCCGTGACGACGGGCAAAGCCAAAGGCAAAGCGAAGGGCAAAGCCAAGGCCAATCCGTGCTCAAGAGGCCAGCAGCTGCGAAGCGTCCCCCGATGAAGCGCAGGAAGAAGAAATCGTCTGACGACGAGTCGGATGACGAGGACGAGGATGCCGAGGATGACGAGCTCGACTCAGAGGGCGAGCTCGACTCCGATGACGAGGAGGACGATGACGAAGGTGAGCCCGAAGACGCAGCTGGCCAAGACGAGGACCCTGCCGAGCCCACGGATGTCGCCGACAAGAAGCCAGCGGTGGCCACATCCGCAAAGGCTGCCGCGAGCAAGAGGCCAGCAGCTGCGACACTCGACAAGCCATCGTCCAAGCAGCGGAAGGCGGAGCAACATTCGCAGGATGAGGGGGATCCGCCTGTGGACGAGGCCAAGAAGATGCCCGAGGCCAAGACGACGTCCGAGGGCAATGACCTGCACCGCGTGCCGAAGTCCGAGGGCGCCAGCGAGCACTCCACGGACTCCCAGAAGGCCGACAAGCGCGGCGTCGCCATGGTCGAGCAGGCCATCATGGAGACCAAGGACGTGCCGCACGACCACAAGAAGGGCCAGTGCCAGTTCTTCGACGAGACTGTCGATGACGATCCCTTCTGAGGAAGGGACCGCGTGCGACTGCACTGGTACGCACGTCCAGCGTCCCACGGGTCAGGGAAAACCGAAAGCTAATGGAGGTGGGATGAGGAGTACGCGGAGGGTGACATGGGGGAGGAGGAGGGCGAGGAGCGAGACGGGTGGCGAGGATAACGACTTGGATGATAATGATGATGATGATGCTGATGATGATGATGAGGACGAGGAAGGTGAGGCGGAGGAGGAGGAGTATGACCAGGTGGGTGGGTGAGGGGTGGACGGGGAGGAAGAGGAGCAGCAGCAGCAGCAGCAGTCGAAGCAGTAACACCCCAGGTGGTCTTGGAACCTGGACTAACGACTTCGGAGAAGCCTGTTGACATCACATGTGTGTTCCCACGCGTGTGATGTCACACGGGATTTCAGATATCAAAATGCCCCCCTGTCTGTTGAGTCGGGATTGCTTGTCTAGCTGCTGGTGTGCCGAGTGAGCTCTGGGTCGCATTGCACCGCTGCCCCCCCCGTTGGAGGCCCTGGTTTGGAAGCCCTAGGTTTGAGACGCAACCGCATTCGAGCCCCATCCCTCGTCGTCCGAATCCCCGATCAATGCACGACCACCTCAAGGGTCCAGGCGGGGGGGGGCCAATATGGCAACCCACACCCTCGATGTCTAGTTTGCCTGACACCGCTGCCCCAGGAGCTGCTCCCCAACGGCCGCAACTCGGCCGACCCCAACGAAGTGCTGGTGATGGAGCGGCTGACTGAGATTTTCGACTCGAGTGAGTTCAGAGACATGCTCGGCCAGAAGGGCCACAGTGACCTCGAGACGGAAATGCAATCATTAGCGGGAGATATAGACAAAGATGGGCACCTCCGGGACCCATCCAAGTGGGGCATCAGCATCCTTGCCGACGGCAGCAAATCAGATGATAACAAATCCACGGTTGAGCCTGGGGACGACGGTAAATCTATCAAGCGCAGGAAGCCAGGCAAACTTGACATCGAATCAGAGTTCAAATTCTGGCAGGACATCGCTTCAGGGGGGTGGGATGTGCCAACGGATTCGAAAAAGAGTGCTGTCGCTGGCCGCTGGGAAAGAGCGTGCGAGGAAGACCCATCGTTAAAACAGAAATATGATGCGACATCAGGGGAGCGAGTCCGCAGCAGAAAACAGGAGTTTCGTGCAACGTGGGCTCAACTCGAGTTCAAAAAGGCAGAGGCTGTCACAGGGCAAACATCCTCCTCAGCCCACCCCTCCGTATCCCCGCACCCGCAGCTTACTCCTCCTCCTCCTCCTCCTCCTCCTCCTCCTCCTCCTCCACCTCATCTACCTCATCCCCATCCCCCTCCTCCTCCTCCACCTCCCCCTCCGCCTCCTCCCCCCCCCCCTCTTCAATCCTGGAGAGGGGGTGGGGTGATACAGTTGTACCACCCATATCATCGCAATCGCGTTACTCCCCCCCTCCTCCCAGGCTGACAAGACCAGGACAACTACATACACGACCCAGGAGTTCCAGAACGGCACCTTCTTGCCGCTGATGCGGATCGCACACCTTGAAGGTGGCGGCAAACTGGGCTTCATCCAGGCCCGACGTTTGAACTGCGGCGCCGCCACACCCCTCTATCTCTATGCTACCCCCAACGGTACCGTCCCCCAGATATCCCTCCGTCCAGTTCCTCGCTCGAACCACGTTCACATGTGAAATCCCATGCGTGGGATCACGCATGTGATCGGTGCGGTGTGGATACTACCGTATGCGTAGCTGGCCGAGCTTTTGTCGGTGCGGATGGTGGGCGGTGGGCGGGCGGTGTACCGCGCAAGCGTTATAAATGATATCTCCAGGCCGTGAAGTACTTCTCAAAATGTATGCTATTGGGACCACCATGGATCGTGTTCGACCCCATGACAGAGTGCCTCAAGTCATTATATGTGGTCCGTGTGCGGACCCTAGGCGCGTGAACTGTATCATCAGGCCCACCCTGCGATCGACAGATCGGGTGCGATCGGTCGAGAGCGAGGGGCGTCGCCGTGGAGGACGATGCGGAGGAGGATGGAGAGGTGAGTTAAGAGGATGAGGGTGAGGAGGGCGAGGATGAATCGACGGACGAGGTGGACGGTCATGCGGAGGAGAGGGAATGGTATGATGATAGTGAAGATGGTGATACGGAGGATGATGCTGAAGATGGGGATAAGGAGGAGGAGGCGGAGGAGGAGGAGGAGGATGAGGGGGGGATGGGAATGATGAGAGATGCTGAGCGATCGCATGTCGACTGAGGGTTTCAACAAGTGCTTCGAGCAGGCCTGGTCCACGCACGTCCGCTGGACGAACGACGAGAACCTTTCCATCGCAGGCCCCATGAAGCACGTGGCCGCCAACGGGGCCGCGGCGAGCAGCGGCGTCACCATCACCGAGGCGCCAGCAGAGCATGTGATTGAGGGCGCGCCACCTGCCACCAAGAGGGAGCGGACGGCGGCTGATGACGAGCATGGAGAGCCGCAACCGCCTGCAACGAAGGGTCGCAGGAAGAAGACCACCGAGGCGGCCACGCAGCCTGATCCAGATAAGAAAGCCAAGATCGCCGCAGCGAAGGCCGCCGCGACGGAGCAGAAGAAGCGGATCACCGCGGCCAAGGACATCGCCGAGCTCTGCAAGGGTGTGATGAGCGATGGGCGGGACGTGATCTACAAGGTGGAGCACAACGTGGACGGCTGGAGGTGGGCCGCCTCGGACACAGACTTCGTCGAGATGAAGCCCGCCGTCGAGACCCTGACTGACAAGGTGCTGAAGAACAAGGGGTTGTCGTCGGCGGTGGACACCGACTGGTTCAAGGCCAAGCCCAGGGTCGGCGACCAGGACTTCACGGCGGCCCTCACCCTCCTCCAGGGCCTCGAGGAAGAGCTGACGGCCGTCAAGGTGCTGCAGACCCGCCTCAAGGGCATGCACGAGCTCAAGATGGGCAGGTCCACCGACAACGAGGAGACGCCCGCCAAGAAGCGGGCCAGGAAGGCGGCTTGATCGCCTCACGCACCGCTTGCAGCGGGCTAGGTGATGAGGATGGAGAGATCTCAGGATGGGGATGATGTGTAGGATGATGAGGAGGAGACGGGAGGAGGGGGGAGGAGGGAAAGGAGGAGGGGCAGGAGGAGGGGGGAGGTGGCGGGAGATGAGGAGGAGGAGTGGTAGGAGGAGGAGGAGGAGGAGGAGGAGGCGGAGGAGGAGGAGGAGGAGGAGGAGGAGGAGGAGGGAGGAGGGAGGAGTGAGGAGGGAGGAGGGAGCAGGAGTAGGAAAAGGAGGAAAAGGAAGAAGAGGAGGGGGGTATGCTCTCTTTTCCGAGCGGCTATCGAGCCACAGGCGCTGCAGCAGAGTATCAGTGCTCGGCCGTGCCAGCGGAGGGGGGAATTGCCCTCGATCACCCAAAAAATCCACTGAAATGGCCCCAAAAGTTCCATGGGATTTCGAGGGAACACACGCCCCAAACACCCGGGGGATTTGGCCCGTTTTGCACGAGTGTTTCCGGAAACTCCCGGGGGAAAACGATTTCCCCTGAGAAATCCCATGCGTGGGATTTCACATGGGATTTCCACGCGCTGGTGTTCGTAGGCCATCCGAGCAATTTTAGAGGTCAGGCCGTGTGTTTGCGTGATGTTTCACGTCGCCGACGCGCGGCAGAGCCAGCGCAGGGCACGATTCGCCTGCCGAGGGTACCCGATCGCGTGCATGCAGTGTCAGCGAGAGCGTATGCTGATGTTCTGCGTGCTGTCTTTTACTGCAGCTCGTGGTGGCTCATGGCTGCGGTGCACGTGCCAGTGCGGATGTACGAACTTGACATCATCCTGCGTGCTCAGTTTCGGCCAATATGCGATGTGTCTCGTCCGTGTCTTGCATCGAGCGTCTTGCATCGGTTCTTCCCGCCACCCCGCAGTCGGAGTTACTGGAGTATGAAGCGGTGGTAGGAGGAGGAGGGGAAGGGCGATACTGATGATCGTTCAGGGTGATGAGGAGAAGGCGGTGGATGATGAGGAAGCTGAGGAGACAGAGGGTAAGGGAGAGGATGCTTGTGATGACGAGAACTGTCCGCTCGGGGCACAGCTCTGAGCCGTCTTGTGTGCTCAGTTGTTGTTCCAATTTGTCTGCTTGCACTTATATGATTTCTCCACTTGTGTGCTTGGTTGAAGAGTTTCTCCACTTGATGGCGAGACACCGACTGTTTATCAAGGCTGTCGCCGCCCGCTGCCCCGCGGCTGACGATCCGCGCGAGGGGTGTTCCGACATGGGCGGGACATGTCTGAGGTCGTTTGGGGATCTGGGATCTGGGGTCTTTGGGAGCTTTTTGGGGGGAGGGGGGGCCCTCGGCGTCCCAGGCTGCCCGCGAGGTGGCCCAGAGGGATCTCGCATGGGGGCCCGACAATGTCTCGGTTGGGCCTTTCAGGGCCCAAGGCTTCTACTGGACCCCCTGGGGACCCAGCTGGGCTCTTAAGGGGTTCGGGGGGGGGGGTCCCTCTCATCCTCGGGCACCGTTGGAGGTCACGGATAGCAAGTGCGCCTGTGGCTCGCCGTGGGGTCGGGGTATACGTCCTTCGCTACCCCTCTTTCGAGCGCGGATTGCGAAGGATCTCATGCCTGGCTGTTATGCTTCGGCTAGCAGTGCCCCGCGGCACGACCGAGAGGGCGCGCCTCTGCTACCAGCAGCTCGCAACCCACTCCGTTCCCGCTAGCCACCCTCCGCGAGCGGGGGGGGGGTAGAGGGGGGTCTCTTCAGTCCCTCAGCCACCCGTTCCCCTCAAGGAGGGTGTGGCAGAGGGGCGGACGGGGCCCAGGAGCGCAACCCCTCCCTTTACAGGCATTGCGCCTGAGGGGGTCGCGACGGGCGGTCGAGTCTCGCCTCCCTTTCTTTTTTTAATCAACGGAGGGGTGCGTTCTGACCAAGATCACTTCGAAGGCGAATCCAGCCGCTGCGATCGACCATGATGTACCCCGAGGCCGAAAAAATCGCCCACTCCTCTGGGGGATCTGGGGTGGGGAGGGCCTCGGTGCCCCATTGTCTTGGGCGGTCGTGATCCTTGGGTCCTCGCCCGTTCCCTCTGGTGCCCCAGGGGGGCCCTTGGCCGTTTGTTTGGTTGGCTGGTTGGTTTGGTTGGCTGGTTGGTTGCTTGATTTGATAGGTTGGTTGGTTGGTTGGTTGGTTTGGTTGGATGGTTTGGTTTTAGTTTATGCCTACTGGTTGATGTGTTTAGTTTATCTTAGTGTATTTACTTTTTTGTTGGTTTGTTGATTTGGGTGGCTGCCCCCCCAGGGCTCTCGCGGGGGCTCTCTGCAGTGCTGGCAGGTTGGTTGGTTGGTTGGCTGGTTGGAGAGTTTCCTGGAGCACTGTTGGCGCATGATCTGGCCATTGGCTGGCCCAAATGTTAGATGAGGTCATCACCTGCCGACCGCACTAGGTCACGTGGGGCGCGGCGATGGGTTCCCAACACTGGCGATCAGCGTGAGGCTGGTGCCGCCCTGTTCAAACAGCTGCTCGACCTCTACTCGGCGGCCAGACTGACAGCGAAAGACTTGACGCAACTTTGCTATAACATCGATCGGGCTGGAATTCAGGGCGCACCATTCAGCACATTCGCTGTCGCCCCGTCAAGGCAATCGGGACACCAAGACCACTTAGACAAGGTCCTTCCCGATAGCGGGCGACTCTTTTACGTCGACGCTCCTGTTCAGAAAAAAGGTGGATCTGCTCGCACGTCGTGGCCTGTTCCAGTGAGATCAGTGGTGGAATCACTCGAGTGTGAGGTCAGCCAGGACGTCGGGCTTCGGCGGCGGCTCGACAACCTCGATGGTCCCGAGTCGGTTCTAGACACTGGCGCATACCGCTCCCACCCAGCAGCTGTGGCCGCTGAACGGGATGGCCGCAGGCGCCCCCTCCCACTGGCCGTATACATGGATTCTGTCACCTTTATCCAGCAGGCCGCAGGCCGCTCAGAATCAGTGCTGGGCATATGGATTGTGAATTTGCTGACCAGACGTCGGCACTTTTATGCTGCTCTCAAGTCAGGCGACATGTGCTCATGTGGCTGTCGAGGGAATTGCACATTATTTCCCATCTTACAATCGTTGCAGTGGCAGCTGCG